CCATCCCCTAGGATGAAATACAAACTGTCATTTTAAATGACTTGCCAAACTGCTTTCTTCCAAAAGCAGCACATTAAATGTTGTTTGTTAAATTGTTTTTGAAATGCAAAATGAAATGGTGCTGCAGGGGTTTATTTAGATTAGCTTTTTAAATGCAATTGAGGTCAGCATTGAAATTCACAGAATTTTCTGACTTTGTGGAGAAGACATAAGTAAATCTAACAAAAGATATAGCTTTTTTTTTTTAGATATTCATTTATCTAAATATTAGATGACATGTATACTTTGATCTTTTAACTATAAATTATACCTGGTAACAGCCAGAGCACTAGGTTCTCTTATTGCCCCTCCACTGGCATTCTAACAGGGTGGCAGTGCAGATGCCTATGCTGGGCAGTCAGCCAGAAGATTCCAAGTACTGTGACTTCACCACCAAGTCCCTTTTATATAACACTCTGGACTTCTCTCCTGAATGAGCCCTGACGGATATGATTTTTTGCTCCTAACTTAAAAAAACAAAAAGCTCCAGAGGGCATAGAAAGTGAGGTGGGGGAAAGGTACCAAGTTGGGTTTTACATGAAATCTAAGTTCTGGTTTGGTTTAACTGACATGAATTTGTCTGCATCTGAAAACTGTCCCATCATTTGGCATTCATTGCTCAAGAGAGAGCCAGACCTGTCCAGGGCCTAGTGTGTGGCAAGTCAACATCAAGATGCACTGGCAGAATATGAGAGGAAGCTTGCGTAATACTTCTCAATGCTTTGCTTGATTGCAGCCTCTGTATGTGTCACTTGAGAGCTAAAAATCAAAAATTCCTTTAAGGAAAAAAGGAAAAAAATCAACGTCCCTGCCCCCCTCCACTTTCATTAGCTGAGATCAGAGTAAGAAAAATCAAACATTTTTCTTGACCTTATATTTGTCAGGCTTTTGACTGAGTTTATAAAGGTGGGGAAACAATTTCCATATTTTTCTGTTTGACTACCAAAATGACTGCTCGAAACTCCTGGCTAAATGATGGGATTGCTTTTCTGGTGTTTATAGCAACACACACAACACTCTGGAAAGCAAGAAAATACATCAGTGTTAATAGTGGCCTTAAAATGACTTTTTTCTTCCATTATATTAAATTGTCATTCCTGGATCTTCTTGTTGCTAGAAAGCCTAAATTTTATGGGATAGACTGAGCTTCCTTTTTTAAGTGTAGATAAACCTTTCAGCTGCATGGTCAATGTTTAGCAAAGTTTGTAAGATCAATTGACGGTATGAATCTGTTTGATAGAAATTACTGAGTTAGACACATCTTCACTGAATATACACAGACTTGCTTGTAATGAAATAAATTATGTATTTGATTTGCACATGTATATGTATGCTTGTTTGTATGTTTTGTCTAATGTGATTCACTGCTTGATAAAAATGATTATAAATATTTTTACAGTGCATTGCTCACTTGTGAATTCCCAACTGTGAATGTTCTTTAGGCAATGTATGATCTTAACTGGTTGCTCGGTTTTATGAATGTATTTTACATAAGGTTGAAACATTTTTTAATTTGTTTGAAAATTCTTAACTCAAGCACATGAAATTTGAAGGTTGTACTGAAATTGTACAGATAACTAATCATGACAATTGTAAAGATGACTCATTGCCTAAAGAGTTTTAATTTTGCTTTTCTTTCTGTAATTTTTCTGTTTTAATTCCTCATGTTAACCTTTCAGCTGTAATATAACTCATGCTATGTTGAAACGAAACAGCAGAAGAAATAGACTGCACAAAAGGTGTTGATGGCATTGACTAGAAGTCAAAACTTTATAGATAAGAGGAAGTATATTTTAATAAAGAGAGAATTGGGTATTGATTTTGTGCCTTTAACGTCATTAGGTTTTACAGCATTTCAGAAAGAGTTTTAAACAACCCATGTGATGCTTTTTCATAGCTTGTGGTGGTCAGAATCCTTGAGGCAACTTTGAATCTAGTATTGTCTTTAGTTTTAGATACTGATACGTTTTTCTTCGATAGGTGAGCAAACAAATGCGAAAAAGGCCCAGGAAAATCCTCTGTTGGGTCACATTGTAAAATATATGGATACAGTTCCATTTATTTGTCTCTTACACATTCCTCTATTAACTTCACCGGTAATTTTCAGTTAAACTTTCAACCTTTTATCTTCAATGTGCATACTTGGCTAAACTCTAACAGTACAAGAAAGTCAGTCCTTGGAGATTATTTCATTTCTGGCACATCTGATAGGCTGTATCTTGTTTCACAACAGAGAGTGCAGTTCTCCTACCCTCAGATAGTGTTAAACTCTGTCCTGCTGGTTTGGATGGGATCGCCATTTTAAAATCCAGTTTAACTAAGTGTGGTCTACCCTTTGTTCTAGCACCAATTGACTGCATTTCATTAAGATGGGTATTTAAACCTTACCCTGTCTATGCCTGCAGAACAACAGAGCTCAACTACAGTTGGGGAGCTATGTTTGGCGTTAGTCTCTTGAAAAATCCACTTGCTCAAAGCTAGAAGGAAGTTTTTCCTATGCATGTGTAATCAACTTCTGCAGGTTATAAGCTTTCATTTAAAATAACTTGAAACTTTCAGCACCTCTTTGGAGAATATCTTCCAAATGTTTTGTGGAAGTAAACAAAATATACATGATGGACAAAAATACAAGCAGTTTTTTTAATATGCTCACTCCGTTCCAAAAAATAGTGACAATAGAGCAGTCTGAACATCCCATTATACAAAATTACATCTCTTTTTGGCAAATAGACTTTGTTCTTGCTACACTGAAATTGGTGTTAAAGCTCCCAATAACTTGAATAGGATCAGAATTAGGCCACGTGGTGGTAGAATGCATTAGTCTCCCATGTTTATACCTAACCTCTGACAAATAGTAGTAGATTAAGTAGGTTTTTAAAAATAGATACGTTCTTCAAGTGAGAATATTTTTGTACCCTTTCTATCTATAACATTTGTATTTCCGAGAAGATTTAACTTAAAACTAGATTTTTTTCGGGTGCTTTTAGACCATTCACGTAACTTTTAATTTATAAGGAACTTTCCCAGCCTTTAATATTAAATAAAAGCCAACTTTAAATTCATAGATTTTAAGTGTTATGAGTATTATTAATTTGTCTCCAAATATACCGCATACAGTATATAGTGTTTGTTAATCCTTTCTCTGTAAATACTTCACATTTATCAGGGTGTCGGTAGCTGGTTTGTAGTGAGCTCTGCTAAAGATAAATGCAAAGACAGAGCCAATAAATATCATGAGTGGGCTATACCATTGAGGGATACAGCAACCATGACAATAATCCAAGAAAATGATTGCAAAAAAATTCACTAGCTTTTAACTCGAGCTTCCTTTGCGTTCAGAGAGAACTAGAGGCTGATTATTTGTCTTCAGCATAATCAGCACTATGTGGGTGGTTTTGGGTAGAGTTTGACTTAAGTTTGTATATATAGCAAAAATATTTCTTTAATGAAAAGAAAACACAGCCTGATGTACTGTGATAATGTATTGCTAATACCTTTTCAAAGTGGATGCATTGATAAATGCTTCTGCTGATTTGTGGAGGTTTACCTCACTTCACATTCTTAACAACTCCAAGTCTTCAAAATAAGAGCTACTGCTATATTTGATCAGTAGAGCTGAGCTTAATTGGAAATTGTATATTTGCTGATCAATATGATGACTTTTTTTTCTCTTGTGGTTTCCAAGCCAGATATTTGTCAAATTTTCATCTAAATTATTAGGCAAACTAATCTCCAATCTGCTGTCAAGTAGAATGGTGAGTTCTTTCAAATATAACTGAACAAGAAATAGCTGTAGATGGTGGGTCTGAACCTTCAACTCAGTATCAATTCTTGCTGGAATTTATACCTAGGCTTCATAGCAGTGTATATTTTCAGCAAATAGCTAGTTGCTGCAAATCTTTCTTGATTTTGCAAGTCTAACAGATCAATTCATTTTGATGTTTTGTGAACTTATCTTGTTGGTTAACCAATTTTCTTTCCTTTATCTTGAATATGATGGGATCTTCGCTAGACAGAGGTAACAGATGGGGGCAGTTGTGTAGCTGGACCTTCGTGTGGCGGTGTTTTTGTTGTTTTTTGTTTCATAATACTGTTGCTAAATTAAGCTTGCATTGTTTCTGCTTCTGTGCTTGCATGATCAGATATGAATTAACCTCAACTGTACTTAATGTTTTTATATTAATTTTCTTTCCCGCTGTATGTGCGTGTGCGTGCGTGTGTATTTTCTAAATGGTTCACCACTATGAAATTCAATATCCAGCCTCTAACACAGTTCTATGGGTCCTTTTCAGTCTTTAAAGCTTCAGTGGATCAGTCACCCAGTGGCTTTCAGCTTAGAAGTGAGATCAGCTGATAAAATATATGTAGTGTGCTTTTCTAATCAAAAAGTTTCCCGTTATCTTAAAAGTTGCATGCATTCATGCAGGAATTTTGACTCTAGTGGTTGTCTTTACCAAACAAATGCTTGGGTTATACTAACGTTTTATCAGGTAACTAAATTTTTGGGAAACCATCAGATATTAAAACCAAACTGCTTTAAGCTATTGTTAAACTAGACAACTATAATAGAAATAAAACAGTTTGGAATAAAACTCATTATGGCTGTCATTTTAATTCTGCTGTAAAGAGCCTAGATTATATAGTACCATTATTCGCTAGAGAATTTAGACAACACAAAACAAAAAGCACATCATATGTTCTTTCTATCTCTGTACTAGACTAAAGATGCTAAGTTTATTGGCCAGTTCCAGTTTGTGCTTTATTTGAAACAAAAAACGCTAGTTCTGATAGATTTGAAGTCTGGAAAAGGTCCATTGAATTTGAATGGTAATAGGAGGGATATGTTCATAAAAAAAAAAAAGCTCGTTGGCAATGATATAAATGATTCAGATCCTCTTTAAGTGTTTAATTGATTCTTTTATTTTCTTTCTTTGGGGTGTGTGGTTGGATCTGTAAAATAGAAGTTATCCCAAGAACGAGAGAAGTTTGCTGATGAAGACAGTATATTTTATACACTTGGAGAATGTGGACTCATCTCTTTTTCTGACTACATCTTCCTCACTACAGTTCTCTCCAGTAAGTATTGTCTATTTTTCTGTAATCTGTTATCACTTGATTCTTTATATTTTTTTAAATGTTTACCACTGATGCAATTTTTCTGTTATGACATGTACATTGGATAATTTTTCCTAAAAGGGATTCTGTTGACTACTTGAATCAAGAGTTGAATGAATAATTGGTAATGAATTCAACTTGTGGCATTAAAGTGCCACAAGTACTCCTCGTTCTTTTTGCTAACACAGACTAACACGGCTACTAACTTTTTCAGAGTTAGCCCAAGATTTTGCAGTATGTCCACTAGCAAATTGTGACTTCTTCATATTTATTCATTATTTTAAATTATTGAGCCTAACTTTATGAATATTGATTATTTTTGGCTTCCTGTTCAAAATTAAAAATTGTAGCGGAGTTCCTGATTTGTGATTGACCATATTAGTCTAGATCGGGGCGGGCAAACTTTTTGGCCCAAGGGCCGCATCGGGTTTCGTATATTGTATGGAGGGCCTGTTAGGGAGGGGGTCGTGGCCGGCCCCCATCTCCTATCCTCCCCCCTGGACTTCTGCCCCATCCAATCCCTCCTGTTCACTGACGGCTCCCCTGGGACCCCTGCCCCATCCACACACCCCCGCTCCCTGTCCCCTGACTGCCCCTGGATCCCGCTGCCCCATCCAACCCCTCCTCTCATTCCTGACAGCCCCCCCCCCCCCGGACCCTCTGCCCTATCCGACCACTCCTTCTCCCTGTGTCCTGGCTTCCCCCAGAACCCCTGCCCCTGACTGCCCCTGCTGCCCCATCCCAACCCCTCCTCCTTCCTAACTGCCCCCCCCGGGACCCCTGTTCTCCCCCGACCCCTATCCACACCCCCATCTCCTGACCACCACCCCGAACTCCCCTGCCCTCTATCCAACCCCCCCCCTGCTCTGTGCCCTCTTACCGCGCTGCCTGGAGCACGGGTGGCTAGCGGCACTACAGCCACGCCACGCTGCCCGGCTGGAGCAGGGCCACACCGCTGCTGCCACCACGCAGCACAGAGACTGGGTCTGGCCGGGCTCTGCAGCTGCACCACCCTAGGAGCTCACAGCCCGGCCCACCCAGAGCATTGTGTCGGCGGCGGGGCAAGCTGAGGCTGTGGGGGAGGGGGAACAGCAGGGGAGTGGCCAGGGGCTAGCCTCCCGGGCCAGGAGCACGGGGGCGGGCAGGACAGTCCCACGAGCCGGATGTGGCCCGCGGGCCGTAGTTTGCCCACCTCTGATCTAGATAAACATAACTTGTATTTTCAGGTTTGCAATTCATTTTTTGTAAGTATTAGAATGTGCAAGCTTAAAATTCACTTTCCTGGTGCATTTGTTCTTGTAAACTCAGTCACCTGAATGCTAGTGGATAACGAACCCAGAAGGCGTGTAAAAACAGTTGAAATGAATTGTCCAAAGATTTAAACAAATAATTTTTTTGTATTATTCGCCCTGCTCCAAACTCAGTATATGACATCTTGTAATCTGCTCAAAGAATGTCCTCTGGGTTCTAAACAACAAGAGCTAAAATAAAAGCCTTTCTATTATTTCTATTGGCAAGAAATATACAAACAATAGCCGCTCTTAATACAGGACAGTATTTCTGTCCTCTTATAGCTGTGGAGCAAAAAATAATGGACTTTGTTTCCAGAGCTGTACTGATCTCTTTTGATAATGTTGGTGCATATAAGGGGGAAGTAAAGAGAAATTCTATGTTAATTTTCAGTTCTGTTAGAAAAACACAAGGAAGAAAATTATTATTTGCCTAATGAAATGAGACGGAATTTATTTTCAGACTTCCAAGAGAAGTAATTATAAACCCTACAAAATAAAACTGTCCCTCTTTAATCCTCGTATTTGCCTAATATGTGATGAGCTGAGAAGAAAAAATAGTTGTTTAGTTCAAACTTTATTCTAAACACACTTTTAAAAACTGTTTTGTTCTAATCAGTCAATGAATGTTGTCATCAGGTGGGGAAAAAAGACTATACAAATGTGTGTAATGCATAGAGCCTTTGGAACAGTACAGCATAACTTTTTCATGTTACATTCTGAAACATTGCTCTTACAAAGTGAAAATGATTATATTAAATTAGTAAATTAAATATGATCTTTCCAGAGTATAAGTTATACAGGTAATTCAAGATCTATTTTGTTACCAAACTGACTTAAGAAACTGTGTGTGACCATAGTGCCTATAAAGATGAACATCAGTAAATAACATTAGCTTGAGCCTGGTACTGTTCTGTGAAATTTTCATTTACTTGTCTTTTACTGAAGTTCAGTCCTGACTTTATCATTCTTGCCATTCCTGTCTTGGGTGAATAGAAGACTAGGATGAGGTCACCAAAATTATGTTGACTTCATACCTCAGCAAGGATTTCAACTCTTATCTTTACAGGTGAAAAGCTTATACAACTAACACATTACATCTTGGAATACAGTCTGCTGTCATTCAAAAAAATTCTGGGAGGGGCAAATTTGTGTCTAGCATATAGAATGTTATATGTGATTATACTGTATCCTGCAAAATCTAGGGGAGCAAAAAGTGGAAGACATAGTGGAAGAATTCTATGACCTATGGATTAGTTGAGGCACAGCGGCGGGGCAAACCAAGGTTGGGGGGAGCTGTCCCCTTTGCTTCATAGCACACGATGCTCCCGCATACAGTACTTACAAACAGGTGGAAGTTCCTCGGATCATGTATGCTCTGTGTCCTTTCCAAACTCTGTGGTCTGTAGATGACCAGACATTTGGGAGTTCCCTGTGACTGTTTCAATGAAAGTAGCCTAGGAAAAAGGCAGTGGCATAGCAAACTCTTCTAGTTTTAAATTCCTTTCTCTTTGATGATAAATCCTGCAAATGAACATGCCCACCAGTCTTTGGGATGGTAGAAAGAGGTCTGATGACAACCAGTGGGTCTGATTATGAATGTTTTGAGGGATGGGAAAGGATTTCCTCTCTCCCTTACTATTGGTCTTTTAGGTGTATTCACAGGTGGTTTTATGGGTCACTTTGTAATGGGCAGCAGAGTTTGTAGAAAAGAAGAAAACGGAAGCTTTGCAAAAATGTCTTCTGGGAGGCTTATGGTAACACAAGGTATGTTTTTGCCATGTGGCCTACGTTGAGTTAAGCTTTAAAAAAGAAAAAAAAGTATCCGGAGTAATCACCAACTACCACAAGCCCCCAAGATTTTAGCGCAAAAAAAAAACCTCTCTCAAACAAACCAGGTACCCTGTGGCAAATTAGAAAACTTAATGTTATGTCACTTTCTGTATCCTTTGTCTAGGGCCCTCCCAAATTCTCAGCCATGAAAAACGTGTCACGGACTGTGAAATCTGTTTTTTTGTGTGCTTTTACCCTATACTATACAGAGACCAGCGTTTCTCAAACTGGGGGTCCTGACCCAAAAGGGAGTTGCTATATTATTGGGGGGTCACAGTATTGCCATCCTTACTTCAGTGCTGCCTTCAGAGCTGGGTGGCCAGAGACTGGCAGCTATTGGCCGGGTTCCCAGCTCTGAAGGCGATGCCTCACCTTCAGCAGTGCAGAAGTAAGGGTGGCAATACTGTACCATGCCACCCTTATGTCTGTGCTGCTACCTTCAGAACTGGGTGGCTGGAGAGTGGCAGCTGCTAACTGAAGGTCCAGCTCTGCAGGCAGCAGCACAGAAGTAAGGGCGCAATGCCATGCCATGCCATCCTTACTTTGGTGCCGCTGCTGGCAACGGCTCTGCCTTCGGAGCTGAGCTTCCAGCCAGCAGCTGCTGCTCTCCAGCTGCCCTGTTCTGAAGGCAGCACCGTTGCCAGCAGCAGCGCAGAAGTAAGGGTAGCAGTAACGCAACTCCCCCTACAATAACCTTGCAATCCCCCAACTCCTTGTTGGGTCTGGACCCTGACAATTATAACACCCTGAAGTTGCAGATTTAAATAGCTGAAATCATGAAATCTATGACTTTTAAAATCCTATGACCATAACATTGACCAAAATGGACCATGAATTTAGCATGGCCCTATTTATGTCTCTTGATAATTTACATTGTACTTCAGTAATCTAACTAGTTCTTGACATGCTCTCTAATCAAGCAAACAAAATAGAACAAAAATATGGAATATAATTTTAAATTCTTAATCTAATAAAAATCTCATTTATAGTAAGTCACAACATAATTTAGAGTTCAAAAAAATTCCCAACATAAGACAAATTGAAGATACAATTAAATAAAGTAAAAAGACTACTAAATACTAAAAATTTGCCATTGCTGCTTTCTGCAATGGATTTTTACTAATATAACCAGCAGAATAAAACCATGAAATCCGGTCTAGATAGTCTGGGGGGAGCCCATCACCGCTAGACTTAAAACTGTTATTGGGGTTAGAAATCAGGTTCTGATCACTTTGCTCAACTCATTGCTGACCATTAGTGAGAATCTTCAAAAACTAATTGAAGTGGAAGAAAATTAAGGTACTTCGTACTATTATCTGCCTCTTCAGCCTGGCAGCTTGACCCCTCTGGCATCCAAACATCACCCTGTCCCCATCCTAACTACTCAAACTCTACTTGCTATGATTTTTTACTTTGACCTAATGGGTATCATTCACAGTTCCTGAATTCCATTTATGAGGAGTATTTCTAATAGGCCACAGTATAAATGAATTCAAGTATTCTTTCCGTATTGCTGCAGAGGACATCAGTTGGCTTCGGTTAAAATGCAATTAATTTGCATATTACCAACGGAGATAGCTCTTTGCATACTGCATAGAAGATGAAGTCTGTCACCATATTTTATTTACAAGTAATTTCTCGCTCTAGCACTGTCTTTTCTCATAGTTTGATCTGTGCTTCTGTGAAAATATATTTGTCAAAGGTAATAAAGTAACATTTAAATGCATCAGAAATTCAGTCTCATATTCAAAGGCAATAACAGCAAAGTGGCTCTGAGGACACTGCACCATTTTTATTGCTTCAGCTGCTTCCCGAAGTAGAGGAATTTGAATTTTACTA